AGCTAGTTGTTCTCTACATTTCTCAGAATCAATATATCGTATTCCATATCATTCCTCTTTCTCCGAATAATTATTCCGTAAAACTACAATACCTTTAATATCCCTAGCAAGACATTCAATTTAGTCTATATATTACACAATTATAACCTCTATTAAATCAGATAGCATCATTCTTCCATTAACTGCTCGTCTTGTCGATGGAACGACGTATACTAGATCACAATCTCTAATCCATGAGGGTATGTTCTTTTTAATCGGAATCTCCGGTAACAACTTCGAGTCAAATTTAAAAAATTGCATCCAAAGTGCAACACACACATAATGCTGCTAAGCATCCCATCAAACAACTTCCTCCGGCACCACTACTATGCTGTTGTTGTACGTACATAGGTTGTTGTTGTTGGTAGTATCCTCCACCCTGTTGTGGGTATCCTTGTTGTGGGTACCCTTGCTGTGGGTATCCCTGTTGATATCCTCCACCATATGCTTGGTGGCCTCCACCCCAACCTCTATCTTGATCTTGTTGGCCATACGCTGGTTGTGCTTGAGGTACATAACCCCTAGATGATGTATTATTACCTTCCGACCAATTCGGTGGTGCTCCAGTTGGAGGTGCATAAGAATCTTGTCCTTTATTATATGACATTGGTTATGTTTTCCTTTTGAAGATATATTCTTATCTCAGGGTGAATGCCTAAGATGATCCCTAATATATATAAAAAGCGTTTGCAATGCCCGTTTTGACCAAGAAAATCACTAAAGTGTGACTTTATCAGATTCGTGTGTGAACCAAAAGGAACACTGAGATGACTGCAACGAAAGGCTTAGACTTTTCACAATAGGCACCGATCAGTCCCTGTCAATAGATGATTGCATATTGATTAATATTATTAGCACCATACATAAATAAATAAATGTAGTTGAGTGTATAGAAAACTAAAAAAAAAAAAATCCCTCCCCCCTCAATTATATAAAGAAGTATTTTGCAGCTATTAACAGCAGATAGAATTAAAGGTTGGTAAACAATACCATTAGTTGAAATTATAATAAATTTTGTGAATTGATATTCATAATGCAATAATAGAAAAACTAATATAAGTATTCGAAGTTTGGGCTCTTATCGCCTTCTAAGATTCTAGATCTTTCGTCTAATGCATTGAATTTTTCGATGTAGGCATCTGATTTTTTAACTTTGTTTAATCTGTAGACTGCAAAGAAATATGCGACCATCATCACCATCGCAAAAGCAACTGCTGCAAGAGAAACACTTAAACCAGGTTTATACACTGGGGCATCTTTTGCTAAAAATATAAAGGTGGCAATGATACCACCGATGTTACCGAAACCAATTTGCCAAGCAGTACCCACGGACTTTCTTAAGTGACCCCCAAAGTTCAAAGAAGACCAGCACACCAATAAAGGCATAGCAGTGTACAATCCAGAAGCAGCTAAAAAGCAGCCCGCGTAACGAGCTTGAGGATCATACTTCTCACCCAAAATCAATGCTAAGCCAATAATAGCTAAAACACATGAACCGAGTGCGAAAGGTAATCTTACCCTGCATCTATCAGAGATAAACGACACAACATTGTTCAACCCGAAAGCTGCTAACCATGGGTAGACTGAGTGTTGGTTTGCACTTTCAGCTGTGTAACCCATTTGATTAATAATAGTGGCTGCAAAATATGCGTAACCGTACGATGGAATAATCAAACCAAAATATCCTAATGCAGGTAACCATACTAGGTAGTCTTTGAAACATTTAGCAACATCAGACAACTTGTTCTTAACTTCGAAACCAGATTCAGCTCCCGAGAAAATGGCCAACTTCTGCTTGATGAATTTCTTCTCGTTATCGCTCAAGAAACGAGACTCTTCTGGGAAATCTGCTACGGTGAAGAAAAGGATAATAGCTCCCCCACAGGTGATGATCCCATCAATGACAAAAATCCATTGCCATGAGCTCAATCCATGTTTTCCATCCAATTCGTTGATTCTATAAGCAATGGCCCCACTGGCAGCACCAGCTAAACATGTCACCGAAAAGAAAGCTGAAAATCTCCTTTGAGCCTCCGCTTTGTGGTAGTAAGTCGAAAGAAGGTAGAACAAACTAGGGAAAGTCGAAGCTTCAGCCATCCCAATAAAGAATCTACAGGCTGCAAGTCCGCCAAAATTGGTCACAAATCCCATTCCAATAGAAACTCCCCCAAAAATCAATATACATCCACTCAACCATATATGTGGACTCACAAACTTTATAATATAGTTCGAAATAACTTCGAAGAACACATAGGGCACGAAAAATAACGTCAATGCAGTGTTATACTGGTTTCCTGTCAAATTCAAATCTTCCGCAAGCCCGTAGAGCTTAGCATTGGATATGTTCACTCTATCCAAAAAGGATAAAAAGTATAAAAAGCAAAATGGTGGAACAACGCACAAATCAATTTTCCACATAAGCTTTTTCTGGTTGATACCATACTCCTTGGCAAGCTCATCGACCTGCTCACTTGGGGTAAGCTTCGAATTTATCGATACGCTACCCCCGAAATCTTCATCCTTGCTAATAGTCCCTTCTTTTTCCATTTTCTGTTCAGGATATTTCTGACTATAAAATGACTTTTATGTAGGTAAAATACAACAGTATATATATGTGCACATATTATGACATTAGTAACTATTAGATCAAAAATTACTCCTGTTTAGGAGAATTTCACCTGAATCGGACATGCCATCTCATACATGAATAATGTGGAGTAAGCAAAAGGATCCGGCTGAAACCATCTAATTCGTTCAACAATACCGCCTTTTGCTACTCATTGCTTAAACGGGCCGATATTTCTTGGAAAAGTCATCGTGATGAGTCACGTTCGGACGCTTCCGTCGGCTAAGTGTCTCACACGTAGCCGGCCCAGATGCCGTTCTCACAACTACGGGTCTAGGTATAGAATTTACATTGCCTAATTGGGTGGATGAAGTAATAGTATCGATAAAAAACTTTTTGTTTGTATGCAGGTTGGTAATCAATGATTCAATCAGTGTTAGATCGGACGAACTCTTCAGTCAAAGAAGAGTCAGGTCAAAGAGAATAGAATGAAAGTGGAATAGGCTTGCTCTTCAGCTCTATAAGTATGTCATATCTTTTTTTTCCACGTTTTCACTTACGTATTTCGTGATAAATGGTCGTAGTTGTAATTTGGCAACACTCTCGCATGTCTTAAGTATACGATAAAGATATTTAGACTATTTTATAAACTATAATAACCGGCTTTTGGACGAAAAGTATTTCTATATAACATTATTTCCCCTAGTAATACCCAGGGCAATTTACAGAATCATAATGGATGTAGAAGGATAGATACACCACAACCCTATAGATAGTAGTAGAGAAAAGGATAGTTCACGTGAAGTATATTAGGGTAATAACGAGAAAAAATCGCCCTATTATGGTAGGTATGCTCAAAGCTGCAGCACAAATGCCGAAAAGTTAAATATTTGAGTACGCGCATGAAGCGGGTAACCCCGCTGAAAATTTTCAGAACATAACTCTTGTGTTCCAAAGCTCGAAAGTTTCACGGTTTAGTTTAAGGTATATTGTAGAAGGTTTTCCAGTATATCAACTTACACTTCATATCAACATAGTAGGAAACATGTCTGACGTCGAAGAACAACAAGAACAACAACCAGTTGTCCAAGAAGAATTACAATTAGTTGAATTAGCTACTCCAATCCCAGCTGAAGTCCAAGCTGCTCAACAAGAAGTTAAGTTATTCAACAAATGGTCTTTTGAAGATGTTGAAGTTAAGGATGTTTCCTTAGTTGACTACATTCAAATCAGACAACCAGTTTTCGTTCCACACACTGCTGGTAAATACGCCAACAAGAGATTCAGAAAGGCTCAATGTCCTATCCTCGAAAGATTGACCAACGCTTTAATGATGAACGGTAGAAACAACGGTAAGAAGTTGAAGGCTGTTAGAATCATCCAACACGCTTTAGAAATCATCCACGTTTTAACCGAACAAAACCCAATTCAAGTTGTCGTTGATGCTATTGTCAACTCTGGTCCAAGAGAAGACTCCACCAGAATTGGTTCATCCGGTACCGTCAGAAGACAAGCCGTTGATGTTTCTCCATTAAGAAGAGTTAACCAAGCTGTCTCTTTAATCACCATTGGTGCCAGAGAAGCTGCTTTCAGAAACATCAAGACCATTGCTGAATGTTTAGCTGAAGAATTGATCAACGCTGCTAAGGGTTCTTCTACTTCTTACGCTATCAAGAAGAAGGATGAATTAGAAAGAGTTGCCAAGTCTAACCGTTAAGATGGAAATTTCTTCTTGTGTATTTTTATCTTTTCACGCCTTTATAAAGTCATTATTTTTTTGTCTTATTAATGTATAAAAAGGAATATTAATTATAATATTGTATGATTTTGCCCCGTAGATACCTGATAATTATACGATATGTATTAGTTAAAGAGATTAATATATGAAGTGAAACTATGCTGGTTTGATTTATGTAAATTATACTCTGATCGGATAAAGCATCCTAATAACAAAGTAGAGAGTAGAACTATGCAATAATTTTTCATACTTGGCTACCCTTGCTTCTAAAAGTTCAAATTCTGATATATTCCCATCGCTTTCTTCTTCTTCTAAGTCTTCTGCATTCAAATATCTATGTTTTTTCTTCTCTAGGCGAGAGATGCCTGATTTGGCAGCTGCTAGTCTGATTTTGAATGTTCTTCTAACGAGCCATTCACGGTTGATTAACAATAAAAGAAAAGCTGCAAAAAAGCAGCATCCAGAAAAGATTTGCGTATTTAAAAATGGTCTATCACTACTTTCGTCTCTGATTGCCAATGCAATGACTTCTGAGACTAAACAGAAAAACGAAACAATAATGTTAATAATTGACCACGCAGCCGGAATCTTCTCCGGTGCTTGAATAATATCAGCAGCCAATGACTGACACATTAAACTACCAATACCAATGAAGAATCCTAATATAATTGCAAAAACTGCTATCGCCGGGAAGGCTACAGCATTGATCCAGTAGGCCCATAAAAGAATGGAAATAAGTAGACTTACGCTTGCAGAAAGATTAGTTCTTCCCACCCTGTCAGCAACTATACCAAGACTGGGACGACCAAACACTTGGCCTGCGTTAAGCAAAGCGGTTACAGTAGAAGCAGAATGCGCTGATAAGCCTACCAGGCTACAATATGCAGCCATCGAGAAAAGCATCAAGGTGTATCCCAACAAGCATAACAGGAACCATAACGATACTAGCACCAACGGATAGCTTTTAAATATTTTGATATCGAAAATTAATCTAAAATTATCTTTTATAAATTTTGGCTTTAGTGTAGTTGAATATGGTAAGGGTTTGTAATTTCTAGGTTTGTTCAAAAGGGTTGCTATTAATGCCAGGACAGAAGTAACAATCCCTGTCATTCTGAGAGCCCATCTCTGGTCTCCTGTCTCTTGAATAAGTTTGTTTGAAGATAATGCGAACGCAATGCCTCCTAAGCCTGCTCCAGAAACAGCAATACCCATTGCAAAGGCTCTGTATTTCTTAAAATATTGAGGTAAAATGAGAGTGGGGGGAATAAAAATCAACAGGAAAGATACCCCCACCAATACACCTTGGGTTAAATATATTTGCCAAAGTTTAGTAGCAAATGAAGCAAGAATATATCCACAAGTTTGTATGAAAATCCCAACAAAGCAGAGGGTATAGAAGCCCACTATTTTATATGCTAAGGCACTGAATGGAGCCAATACTTGTGCTAAGAATACAACTAATCCCCCAATTAGCGCATAATCGTAGGGACCACCCCCAGGAAACTCATTTGAAGATAAATAGTAATTTAAGAACACACCATAGCCTGCATTAGCCCCCCATGTTGAAAACGCTGCCATCATCGCACAGAACGCTGCAACCCAGCCGTATCCTCCATCTGGAGGTTCGTCGATATCCTCTTTATTTCCCCCTTCTTCTTCTTCATCCGCACTGGCATCTTTCTCGTAAGATTCTCGTTGTCCTATCTTATACTCCTCTTCGCCCACGCTTCGTCTGGAGGTTATATCCAACTGTGTATCTAAAATCCTGTCTATATCGACGTTATCTTTGTATTGTTGGTACTCCTCTATATCTTGCTGATGGTCATCTCTAATAGCAGTTATAATTCTTGATAACTCTGAGTTATTGGATCTGATTCTCTTCATACTGTCTCGTGTACCTCGACTACCAATGCTGCTCCTACCGCTAGTGATAGCATGAAGTTGGTAAGGTTCGTGCCTTATGGAGTCATTCGAATTATGGGACTCTGTATCAGTCATCATTTTCATATCTTCTTCAACGCTCCGATAACTTGACATACTTATATGGGATATTTCTTCTTACTATAGTGAATTAAATTGTTGAACTAAAATCCCTTCTTATATAAAAGATGGAGAGTTTATCTGACTAATTTTTGCATATCCGTTTCGCAAAAATTTCCCGATTAGGCGGATTGATGTATGCTTCAATCTTCTCAAATCTCAACCAAAAAACGTATCTATAGGCCTGATATATGAAGGGTAGTTTTTCATTATCATGCAAGATACAATGAGTCAGCAAAATATTTGTTCTTAGAAGTGAGTCGTTAGTTGTAATGGAAGATCTAACCGAAACATGACTTTGTGTTCCGTAGCTGTCAAGCTGATCGTCCTGCAGTCATTGCATACATATTTAGAGGAATGTCAATGTATATAGATGACCAGGCTTACTTTTGAGGTCGTGAGCTTCATTTTCCGGCGTGAATGGGTTCGATAATGTGACTTGTTTGATATGCAAAATATTAAAGGCGCAAAGTGGTTCCCAATGACTCATAGACTGGTGGGGTTAAATATACTCACGCAAAGATATGATAAGCTAAATATCCGGAAATAGATAATTATTGTAAGATAAAACATTACAGTTAGAAAATGTAGTGCATGTAATGGACTAACAGTGTCCCGGTGACATTGTCTGAAGACTATGAAATGTGTACCTATACCTCGTAAACCCCTTATAAATGACTGCGAAATCTGTACGTAGGTGAATCATGAAATCTGATCTAAAAATATACAATTAAAAAGTTTATTGTTAGATATCAGTCTTGATTGTATTTGTACTTCTAATTGTTAAAATAGTTGTTGTTTGGGTTAAAATTCATAGAGAATAATAATTTCACATCGAGCTTTCATGAAATTTGAGAATTATTGCAAAATGCAACATAATGAAAATGATCACTAACGAGGTATGTAAGGTCATATATGAATAAGTATATATATGAATACTCGAGGAAAGGAATATTGCTCCTATATTTCAATGAACCATTGCCAAATGAGCTATTTTACCTGGTGATTGTTCTGGAAACCTGCAACAGTCTGATCTGCCAATATCGCCCGGGCACGCACATTTAGTATCATCATTAACCCCGATATCAGAATCAGTCAATTCGCCGCTATCAGGATTTCTAATCATATCTTTAATAGCATCTGTAGATCTCATTGACAGTATAAAACACGACTACCAGAAGTAACTAGAAACATGTCTGGAGCTTCCGATTTTTTGTCCAAAGGAATTGATCTTGTTCAAAAGGCGATTGATGCCGATACGGCCACTAGATATGAAGAAGCATACAAGTTATACTATAACGGATTGGATTATTTGATGCTAGCATTAAAATACGAAAAAAACCAGAAATCTAAGGAGTTGATTAAATCGAAATTCACAGAATACTTGACCAGAGCTGAGCAATTAAAGGATCATTTAGAGAAACAATCGAAATCTAACACAGCAGAAGGATCGTCAGATGGGTCAACGAAGGCTAAGAAATCAGGAGATGGAGATGATGATGATACGAAAAAGTTGAGGGGAGCATTGGCAGGAGCCATCTTATCGGAAACGCCGAATGTAAAATGGGATGATATTGCAGGGTTGGAAAGTGCCAAAGAGGCTTTAAAAGAAGCAGTCATATTACCAGTAAAGTTTCCTCAGTTATTTACGGGAAATCGTAAACCAACTTCGGGTATCTTGTTATATGGTCCACCAGGTACAGGTAAATCGTATTTGGCAAAAGCGGTAGCTACAGAGGCCAAGTCTACATTCTTTTCTGTATCCTCGTCAGATTTGATTTCAAAATGGATGGGAGAATCTGAAAGATTGGTCAAACAGTTATTTACTATGGCACGAGAAAATAAACCCTCGATCATTTTTATTGATGAAGTTGATGCATTGTGTGGACCAAGAGGCGAAGGTGAAAGTGAAGCGCTGAGAAGAATCAAAACCGAATTATTGGTTCAGATGAATGGGGTGGGTAACGATTCGAGCGGTGTTTTAGTTTTAGGTGCAACTAATATTCCATGGCAACTAGATGCTGCTATAAGAAGAAGATTTGAAAGGAGAATTTATATTGCGTTACCAGAAGCGGAAGCAAGAACAAGAATGTTTGAAATTAACATTGGAACTGTTCCGTGTGAATGCACAAGTCAAGACTACAAAATGCTAGCTGATATGACAGAAGGATATTCGGGTCATGATATCGCAGTGGTAGTGAGAGATGCTTTGATGCAACCTATTCGTAAGATTCAGCAGGCCACTCATTTCAAGCAAGTATTGAACGAAGATGGCGAAGAAAAATTGACTCCTTGCTCTCCAGGTGATGAAGGTGCTAGAGAAATGAGTTGGCAAGATATTGATACTGATGAATTAAAAGAGCCTGAGTTGACTATCAAGGATTTTATTAAATCGATTAAAAATAATAGACCTACTGTTAATCAATCTGATATTGGTAATCATACCAAGTTTACGGAAGATTTCGGTCAAGAAGGTAACTAGATATCGGGGCTTTAACTTTTGCTTCGGCGATGTAGTTTAATATATATAAATACATTTATTTTGAAATAACTATAAAGTCTGTAATATACATTCTAGCTGATTTTTGAATTCTCGAATTGATATTTTAATCACTAATCAATCCTCATTGGTGATCTACTTCTGTCCCTATTACTATCCGTTCTGCTTCTACTTCTGCCAGGGAAAAGATCCTCTTCGTCATCTCTACCACGGTTTGCAGGTCTCGATTGTCTTAACTTATGTGCAAACAAATCTTCCTCTTCATCCTGTTCTGGCTTACGTTCACGACGATGATTATGATGCGACTCTCTCAGTCTGTATTTATTATGGCGACGTGGCTTTCTTTCAGGTTCCCCATGTAATAAGTAGTAACGCGAGTACGCACTGGCATTCTTGACTTTTCTATCTGATTGGAATGATTGTCTCACATACAAGACGATCGAAGTATCATCTTCGTCCATAGTATTATCTTGCTCCACTGGATTTTGTTCCTTATCGCCATCAGCAGCAACACCTAATCTATTAGACAAGTTCTGCTGTTTACGAAACGCAATTATAGGAGCGTATGGCTTTGTTTCCCTTTCTTGAATAGCATCTTGGATTTTTTGTTCCTCGTTGAGTTCAACTTCAATGTTAGGATTCGATGATATAGAAATGGATTTTAATGCATTATGGGCATCTTCCATAGTCTTAAAAGATACATTAACCGACGTATCATTGATCCATTGGATACGGAATGTTATTTGTTCATCAATTGGGAATGGCTCATATACAATCTTGGTCGTAGGCTCATCTTGTCCTTCCGTTTGCTCTTGTTCTTCGGAAACGGTGTAATTCACATAATAGTCAATAAATGCCTTGATATCTTCGGTGGATAAGCTGTCTACTCCACGTATATGTAAAGCCTCTGGTCTCAAAACTTCGGTTTGATTATTCACTTGCACTTCAATGCTTTGTTCTTGTAACTTAGATTCTCTAGCTTTTTCATCGTCCAATGTTTTCGTTAATAACCCTCCATATGGGGCAACTTGAGGCTCACTCATGGTCTTAATATACTGTTGTCTTCAAGATCTTATATTATGAAGTTGATTAATTTTCAATGTCGACTAAGTACATTTCGCGTCATTAACGAAATTTACTTGATGCCACTACATTTAATTCTCTATTCTTTCTAATATTACATACATAAGTATCTATATATTATACATATAAATAGAACAGCAATGCAGTCCGATGAAGCAGATATTCTGTGGTCTTGTTTTTTAGAATTTTGGCCTGCAATTACCCTTATGTCTCAATGATATAGTACTAGATAAGTCATTCTCACAGCTACACCAACATAACAACTCTCTGTTATTTCTACCAGTTCAATTAATGCCACTATGATCTATCTGATTGGTTCAGTCGAAACCTACCATCATATACGCCTACCATAATCCATCACTCTAATTACCATCTTCCATTTTGATGTCTGCTTCACCACTGCCAGATCCATTCTGTACATCTTTGTCCTCTCTTATGAACAAAACATTATTGCATCTGATGAATATTTCGCCTATGATTTCTTCTTTCTTTTCACCATCTTCATATATCACTTCTGAAGTTTTGTCCAATTGCAAATTCATGTAGTTATCGATTGAAATCAACGTTCCTTTATATTCTGTCTTGTTCCACTTCAATCTTACAATGACCTGTTTACCTATCAACGTCTTTAAAAACGGTTTTGGATTAATTGGTTGAAACTTAGCGGTTAGTATTATTCAGTTGAATATTCACTCATTTTCATTGCTTCCAAAGTTGGTAAAAAAAGCTTCTGAAAATCGAAATCTCCCATAAATAACAAAGATACTTACTGATGACATGATTACACTTCCTATCTCTGATAAATATAGCTTTTAATGGAATGTTTCGTTCTATTCTTACAGAGTTTTTGAAAAACTAGGATGGGGTTATCTGCAGTAGCATCAAGCTCGATCATAAATTTCAAAAACACGTATAATCCAAGGTATAATACCAAAGAATTGCTAGTAACACCGTACTAAAATAAGGATTATGGATAAATTGATGTCGGTACTCTTGATTGGAGGCCTCATACGGTTTGTATTACCCACAATTTTACCGAGGTTGCCGTTGAATTTATCATCATCTATAGAAATAGCGACGCCGTTAACTTCGTTTAAATCGCTACAAGAAGCATTCTACTATTTACAACATGATATTAATTTATACGATGGAGGAGTAAATCATCACCCCCCATTATTAGTTATTTTGCTTAATGCTATTGACGAATATTTACCAAGGAGATTGGGTGAGATCGTATTCAATGGAGTATTCACGGGAGTAGATTTGATAATTGCATGCCGATTGATACACATAAATAAATGGTACAACAAACATATGTCCCAGAGAACTGGAAGATCGATACAAGGTTTCAGTGATGATTTGATAGCCGCATTTTACTTGTTCAATCCGCTCTTAATATTGACGAACATATCACACTCGACGTTGTGCTTCACCTTAATGGCAATCACTGAGTCATTGTATCAACTAGTGATACGCAGAAACCTCCCAAGATCCGTGATAAGTATGGCTATAGCGAGCTATCTTTCTTTCCGTCCCATATTTTTGATCATTCCCCTTTTGGGATTGGCTCATTCGCTCGACAGAGATTGGAAAACAGTATATGCCCACGGAATCGGTTTGTTTACGTCCGCATGTGGTATATTGGTCTTGACATCTTTCATGATGACGGCGTCGTTCCAGTTCCTCGATCTGTGCTACGGAATTGTCATCAAATTTAACAAGATCACCCCTAATCTCGGCTTATGGTGGTATATCTTCACCGAGATGTTCGATTTCTTCACGCCCTTCTACGTGGGCGTATTCAACCTCTTCTCGATAATTTTCGTCATCCCCTTCACCTTGAGGCTCTTCGAATTCAACCACAAGTCGGCCAAACCCACGGGAGACGCATTTTTGGCCGTGGTCACGTCGTACATATGGCTTTCGTTTACAAAATCGTACCCAGCCGTCGGCGACCTTGCCTTTGCCTTGTCGCTCATCCCAATCTTCAAAGACACCGTCATTCCCCATTGCAAGTACCCATTCTTAACGGCGCTTGTGCTCTTGGTGGGGTTGCTCTTGTCCCCCATTTTCTACTACTGTTGGATCGTCTTGGGCACCGGTAACTCCAATTTCTTCTACAGTATCAATTTGGTCTGGGGTATTGTCCACGGCTTGATTCTCACCGATTTGGTTTGGGGCAAGTTGATCTTCGACTACATCGAACTCAATGACGTTCCCGCCGAGCAAATCCCGAAGTTGAGGCTCACCCAGATCTGAACCCATACCTTTCCCTACACGATCAGCCACCTAGGTCCCCTATATACGAATACACATACGTTAGAATGCCCGTGTAGTTGCAACAATCGTCTCTATATCGTCTTGATATTGGGTGATCACGTGACTATTTTTTCTGCCAATCAACTGACGAGAATTTTTCATTGGAACGAAAAGCTCACTAAAAGAATTATACTAAAAATTGTATTTGTTTAAGACTAATAATTAACCCAATTAAACATATAGTATCATGTTGTCCCGTGTATCTGCTCGTTCTTATAGTTCTGCTGCTCAATCTATCAAATTAACCGCTAGAGAAGCCCCAGGTAACTTATCAACATTGTCAGTTGTTGTTAACAACGCAGGTTCTAAAGCTGGCAAATCAGGTGTAGCCCATTTGTTATCCAAATATAACTTTTTAAATACTGAAAGTAAATCGGCTTTGAGATTTACCAGAGAAAGTGAATTGTTAGGAAGTATCGTTTCATCGGATGTTACCAGAGATTCGATTGTTTTGAAGACTCAATTTTTAAAGCAAGATTTACCATACTTTGTTGAAGCTTTAGGTAATGTATTGACCAAAACCTCATTCAGAGACCACGAACTCCCAGAAACCGTTTTACCAGCTGCCAAGGCACAATTTGCCGAAGCACAAGCTTCTAATGCATTCAAGGCTTTCGAATCTTTACACGAAATTTCCTTCAGAAAGGGTTTAGGTAACCCATTATACTACGATGGTACCAGCCCAGTTTCCGTTGAAGATATCAAGCAATTTGCATCCGAAGCTTACAATGCTTCCAACGTGTCCGTTTTCGCTTCTGGTGTCAACGAAGGTGACTTGAAGCAATTTATTGGCGAATCAGCATTCTCTGCCTTGCCAGCCGGTGCTTCTAAGTCCACTCCAGTTGAGCTCCACAACGGAAAGGAATCCAGAATCAGAGCTGCTGGTGGTTCTGTTGCTTTAATTGGTGTTCCAATCAAGGCCGCCGACTTTGCTAAATACGAAGTCTTATCTGCTGCTATTGGCTCTTCATACTTACCAGGCTCATCTGCCCCATTATCTCAAATCCAAGGTGCCACCTCCAAGGTCCTCAAATACCAAGATGCCGGTTTATTTGTTGTTTGTGTCTGTAATTCTGATGCGGCTGTTGTTTCCCAAGGTGTTAAGGCTGCTAAGAAGGCTATTGACTCAGTCTCTGCATCTGACTTATCCAACGCTACCAAGGGTGCTGAATTATCTATCGCCTTACAATCTCGTTTCGAATCCCCATTAAATGTCAAGATCGATTCCTCTACTAAAGCTCCTAAATTAGGTGAATTCAACTACGTTGCTGTTGGTAATGTTGACTTCTTACCATACGCCAACGAATTATAATTTATCTAAGCTGAATAAAAAAAATTTTGTTTCATTCTTTGGTTTTCATGTGCATATTTTATAAAGATTCAAACAACTTAAAGATGAAGTAGAAATTGTGGTTACGATTTATATTCTTTTCATATAGAGGAGTCAATCTCAAGTACTAAATAATTCCTTGTTGAATTTTTTATTTTTATTTGATCATAAAGGAAAAAAAGCTTATTTTTTATCTAATCTATACTTTATCTAGTTTTTTTTTCTTGTCTGCTTTATTACTGTTTAATATATTTATTAAAATGTTAAGTTTTCCTAGTAGGTATGGCCTTTTAGTAGTTGATGCCATACTAAACAAACAAGTCGTGCGAAACCGTTAAAAGATGTGAAAAAAAATTTAGATGTTCAGTTATGATGAATTAAGTATACATTTATACCTTAACCAACGGTTTAATTAATACACATACACATATATATAATGTCCGATATTGAAGAAAGCGCTTATAACGAAGCACCAGAAAATTTTGAAGATTTTGAACAAGCTGATCACTTCTCTGAAGATGATTTCAATGAACCAGAAGCCGAAAATGACAATGCTAATAACGGGGATGTAGAAATGAAATCAGCCGATGGTAGAACCATTATAAATGGTGGACTTGGACCAGACGAAGTGCAGCCTAGACCTAAGAGTGCTAAGGAATTAGCAGTACCAAAGGAAGACAGAACTACCACACCATATATGACAAAATACGAAAGGGCTAGAGTTTTAGGTACCAGAGCATTACAAATTTCACTCAATGCACCAGTTTTAGTTGACATTGAAGGTGAAACCGATCCATTACAAATTGCCATGAAGGAATTGGCACAAAAAAAAATACCTTTGGTTGTTAGAAGATACTTGCCAGATGGTTCTTTTGAAGATTGGGGATGTGATGAATTGATCATCGATCATTAAAAAATAGGCAAATTATCGACTTACGGAGTTATATTGGGCCCGTTCCCTCTTCTGATATTTATTTCATACTATCTCGTTTCTAAAAGTTGTTTACTTAACTTGTTTTTGCATATTTAAGATTATCGTTTATAAATATTAATAAATTGTACTTTAATAGAACCATGAGTAACATCTTCTTTTTATCAGTCAATATAGGTATCGATCCATTTCGAAGCGAGAAAAGTTTTGCGTCCATCAATTTGTTCCTTAACAAACCCATCTACTAGTTTATCAAACGTAGCTCTCGAGAGTCTGTGATCACCAGACCCGATTTCGCCGAGTTGAACAGAACAACACGCCTCTTTTAACCGTTCAACGTCAATAGCAAGATCCTTACTATCTTTGTCATCGGAAAATACTTTCAACGCATTATATATGGTTTCTCTATCTTCAAACTGCAGCAATTCTTTGGCCATTATTTGCAGAAACTGGGTGAAATTTATACCCTTGTCTTCTTTTTTTGATGATCCGTCTACCGTTAGCATCGTATCTAGTTGTTTATCGGAAGGCATTTTCATTCCCAACGTCTTATATAAATTAATCAAATCTTGTTTCGTTATTACTGAGTCTCTTGATTCGCCATCTATTAAGGTAAATGCTGTTCTGAGTTGTGTTTTCTGATTATTAGAAAGTGTATTTAATGCCAGCATGGTAGTATTTATGATATATGTAGAAATGTTATAAAGAATCAATCATTCATATCTATTACTTGGATTTTTGATCTGAGCATCTTTAGTACTAAAAATGTAAACAAAAATATACGCGCAAAGGCATAGATCTAATCTTTTCAACCATCAAACTATACCAACAATTCGTATTGCAACTCCTCGATATTGTATAGAAGAAGGCTTAAAGGGTTATTTTGCATAGTGGTAATAAGTTTGCTTGATACAAATTCATAGTAATGGAGTCAGAAACACTCTATAATCAACCAGTTGTGATTGATAATGGATCGGGTAATTTGAAGGCTGGTTTTGCAGGAGAGGATAAACCCAAAGCATATGCATCTGCTATAATCGGGCGGCCCAAATATCAAAAGATTATGGCTGGTTCTTTGATATCTTCTGGTGATGACAACAAGAATGGAGACGAGACTTTTATCGGAGACATCGCACAGCAAAATAGAGGGTTACTTAGGCTATCATATCCCATTGAACATGGGGTTGTCAATAATTGGGACGACATGGAAAAACTATGGTATCATACATACACACAAGATTTGAAAACAAATGCTGAAGAACATCCTTTATTGATAACTGAGGCACCATTAAACCCACGGATTAATAGAGATAAGATGTGTCAGATTCTATTTGAGCTGTTCAATGTTCCTTGCATATATGTTTCAATTCAAGCAGTTTTATCTTTGTATGCATCGGGGCGTACCACAGGGGTCGTCATTGATAGTGGAGATGGAGTAAGTCATATCGTTCCCGTGTATGAAGGGTTTGCGTTACCTACATCGATCAAGAGAATGGACATCGCAGGAAGAGATATCACAGAAAACTTGTCTTTCAATTTAAGAAGAATGACGGGTATTTCATTGCATAGTAGCTCAGAATTGGAAATTGTACGATTAATTAAAGAGAAATGTTGTTATATTTCAAAAGATCCAATGAAGGATGAAGCACTATATTCTTCTTCTGCTTATAATCATTACCTTAATACAAACTCCCAAAATATTAAGGAGTCTAATTTACTTGCATCATATAAACTTCCTGATGGCCATACCATTCAACTAGGTGCTGAAAGATTCCGGTCCACTGAAATATTATTTAATCCTCAATTGATTGGCGATGAATCTCCTGGGTTGCATGAATTGGCTTCTCTTGCCATAGCTAAAACTGACATGGATTTAAGGCCCGTGTTGTATCAGAATGTTGTCTTATCAGGTGGAAATACATTATTGAAAAATTTTGGTGATAGACTCCTTGTGGAATTGAAAAACCAACAGTCACAGCAAACTGGTAGTTATGGCATTTGGAATGCCTCCAGAAACACTAATAACTACGACACAAAAATGAAAATAAAAATACATGCTCCCCCGGAAAGGAAGTATTCCACATGGATAGGTGGCTCTATCTTAGCTGGCTTATCAACGTTCAAAAAGATGTGGGTTACTTCACTGGAATATGCTGAGGATCCAGAAATAATCCACAAAAAGTGTATGTAGCTTACATTGTTAGAACATAGCGATCACTAAATAGTAATAGTAATATTAGTCTAAACGAAAATTAAATACAGTAGTATCTATCGCCAAAATCACCTAAACCTGGTACGATGTACTTGTTTTCGTCTAATTTCTCATCAATGCCTCCAGTAATGATTTTAACATCAGGATAGGTGTCATGGAATGCTTTGATACCTTCTGGGGCAGCTAATAAATTCAAAAAGAAAATCCTATCCATTTTCACTCCTCTACTCAATAACACTTCAACCGCCATCATTGCACTTCCACCAGTAGCCAACATTGGGTCCAATAAGAACACATAACGCTCACTAATGTCCTCTGGTAACTTTTCGTAAAATAATTTTGGTAATGCAGTTTCTTCATCTCTTTGAATCAAAATTTTCCCGATTCTTACAGATCTACAACAATCTCTAAGTCCCATTTCCATTGATTCACCAGCACGAACAATACTAACACCACAAATTTTACCCAAGAACTTAGCACCTTGGAATGTTTGGTTACCAAAACATTGTATAGTAGCCTCTTCGACTGGTAATAAATTTAAGCCTTCTTCAACTAATAACCTTATGATTCTGTCAGAATAGAAGACAAAATCACCTCTCTTGGTCGATTGATCACGAATAATTGAGTACAAACCCCTAAGTTGATTTGTTTGTGGGAGTAATATAACGTTATCGCTCACTTCTTGACTTTTGCTCATTTTACCTGGAGGTGTCATAACATGAATATCAGTAGCTATCTAAAGATAATTAACAGTCGCAAGATGATGAGAAAAAAGATAACAGGGGCACATAACCAACGACAGAATGGCTAGCATGTAAAACAAGCCAAATGTATGCTAGAAGGCTTCATATATGGTAGCTACAAGTATAGAGTAGAAATATGGTGAACATGTTTCATCTTTGTTACTACAATTGTTCTAATGTTGGTCCTTTCACATAATTGTTTGAATTTCTACGCACAAATATAAATGCTTTCGAAATCCTCTAAAACAGTCTACCATAAGCAAAACCTTGGAGGAAAACTCTTGCAGGTAACTTCTCATAAGCAGGCTCTGGTAGGCTAACTCTTTTGAAGTAATTCCTAATTCTTTATAGGCAATTCTAAACACCTCTACAAATCCACTAATGCTACAATCTCTTTCTAGGTACATGCCCCAAAAACTGTTCAAACTTTGAAGCGTTATATCTTTATTATACTAGTGCATACAAACTTATTATACAATTAATTATTCTTCTTGGTTAGCAAAAGGGTTGTCGATTATTTCACTACCATCAACTGGGGAGATGGTCAATAATGATGGGCCCCTTACTACCACAAAACCTATGTCTCTAGTCTTTTCGGTCAAAACATTATCGTCCTCTGGATCTAAAATTGTTAGTATATTGTCCACTTGCCATCAAAATCAAATTATTAAAAACATCTTTTACGAAAATTCACATACCTCTAATATTTTCCTTAACATCTTCCAACACTAAATTCATCAATTGGTCAAACCCCTTTAACACACCAATAACCTGTCTACCACCTATGAACTTAACTCTGATCTCCTTATCTTTGTAATTGTTCAAATCCAAAATGGCTTCTCTCTTTGGACCATCTGGCTTCGAAGCATTATTATTTCTTCTTCTATTATTATTATTGTTGTTATTTTGTCTTGGCTATTATTTTGTTAGTATTTGGTCCCTCTGCGTGCACTGAAAACGCCACGTATGAAAATTTACTTACATTATCCATCTTGTCTAGCTATTGTGAATCCAATATATTGTCTAGTGTAGGAACTCGTTAACTTTGTCAACGGGTCGAAGAAAATATATAATCACGTGATTGTAACATTTTGCAATTATATGGTGTACTAACAACGATAATTATCTTGTAGTAGGTTATTGATCAGGCATGGGGCTTCTGATGCATCTGCATTTACTTTGTAGTGCTAGTGGATGGTCTAATAAAAAAAATGTTAAAAAATTTTATAAATCACATAATTAGAGCATTATAGAGATTAGAAGTTAGGACATAACAACTTTAAGCCAACACATAAAGAAATCTAAGAAATAAAGTGTGGTATTTGGCTTTAATAGACAAGTATGATAATCAAGATAGAAGTCGATGTGAACCGTGTGGTTAAATAAATATTTTCTACAAGAGAAATTGCAAATTTTTATAAATTGTGGAAATTATGTACAATATTCAATGATGAAAAATTCCTTTTTGCACACAATAGGTTACTTGCTTTCTAATGCCATTTCGCCTACTGGGTTACCATGAACAAATCACCATGTAATCTTGATCTTGAATAATATAAACCAGTTGTAAATCATAAAGCTATTTATATGCAGTACATATGTTTATATTTGTAATTAAGAATAATTCAGATGAAGAATAGGCAGGTTATCGGCATTATGAGCGACATTAACGTATATATCACCTCAGACTTGACTTCGTCGGAGAGGAGGATATCTCCTCAATGGGATTTACAATATTTAAAGAAAAAATTGGAGTTAATTACAGGCATTTCTCCTAAAGATCAAACCATTCAACATTATGCAATACCTTCATCGAACGAGTTTATCGTGATTCTGGACGCTAACAAGTATTATACTGCGGAAGACAATGACAAGCATGTTTCAGATTTTAACATTTTGCCATTTAGTCGCCTTCATGTTCATGACAACAACCCTGATTCTCAATTAAGTCAATTGCAAGGTGACGACACAACAGAAGAATTTAAGCTTTCAGAGGAAGAATATGCCAAGAGAACTGATTCTGTGTTGCATTGGAAAGAGACCAATAAATTGGGCAGATTTGACCCTGAGTACGAATTGCAAAAATCGAGACAACTCGAGGAAAATCTAAAGATATCGTCCAGCTTGCACGTTGGGGACAGATGCCGTATCATAAATATCCTGGGAGAAAGAAGGGGGGCCATAAAATACGTGGGCAAGATAATGCTTTTGGATGAAGGGGAAAATATATGGGTTGGTGTCGAATTTGATGAACCGGTGGGCAAAAATAACGGTCTGATTCTGGGAACCAAAATCTTCGAATGCAGAGAAAACCACGGGAGCTTTGTCAAGCCTAAGCAAGTTGAAGTTGGAGATTTCCCAGAATTAGATCCATTTGCAAGCGATGATGACGACGAAATTTAGATAATATACAGTTACTAGGTCTGGTTTTCTGTAATAGTGCTCTTTACATATATATCGATTTCAGCAAAAAATACCGATATCAAGTAAATACAAATATACGTAGAAAACCCTAAAATCCACTGGATTCCCAGAATAGAGCGTTATAGATATCGTAATGTACATAATCCTCTATATCCCATCCATGTATATGTTGGAATATTCTGGTGTATAGATACCAATTGAAGAATTAGTCGTGTCCAAAATTTTGACCGGTTCAAGCGGTTCTTGCGCTAACAAAAACATACAAGAGGCAAAATTATGTCAACTAATTCTTTTTATTTGTACACACATCAGTAGACGAAGAACCATAGAGTACAAGATGTTTGAGATTATTTTTGAATACATAGAACAAGATAAGTTCTACAAGTATTTTCGTTTGTTGATCATCGTTGGAATGTACTTGTTCTGCCGTAGGATTTATTCCGAATATGCCAAACAAAGTCAAATCAAGAGACAAATCGAAATCGACGAGCAGGAAAAGTTAGAGAAGCCAGCCAGAGACGAACGTGAAAGAGCTGAAAAGGAAGAAGCTTTAGAAAAAGAAGCTGCTTCTTTCGGTTGGGGTAAAAAGACGAGAAAGAACGTAAAGCTTCAAGAAACTATATTACAACAAGAGTCAGAAGACTTAAGACAAAGATACCAATCTTCTTACGATGCTGCCGAAGATCACGACATCGAAGATCTTTTGGAGGATTAGTTGAAGATATTATGCATTCGAACCAGTTTTGGCACTCATTCAATGGTTTATGATTGAATACTAATCGGGAAAAAGCTTTCATTACCATGGCTTGGAACAAATTTCCCAGCAATACAGCCTGAATATATAGTATTGTTCATGTTTCTTAATTAATTGTATAATATAATTGAATGTTATTACTAGTGTATTCTTATACTGCGCACGTGAATTTTGTGATGAGCTCTGCGAGTAGGTTGAAAAATTTAGATGGGTTTTGAAAACTATAGTACCTAGATTGTAAAAAGATCTATATTTATATTAATTAATAATCAAATATATATAACTAATCATGGCAGGTGATCTGTTTTTGTCTGATCCTTCGAAGAAGAGAAGGCGTTCGGGAAAAGCTACCAGTACAACAAATAAGTCAAAGAGATCAAGTCGAACTAGTACTCCATCAGCAGCTAGAGAACAAGGCGAAGAAATTTCAGGAGGAAGTGATTCAGAAGACGAGCAAGGAAATGTTTCTGTAGGATCGGGTGATGAAGATATCGATAGGGATAACGAAGAAATTGAATCGGATGAAGAGTTTGAGGATGAGAATGCAGCAGATAAGAGAAGAAGATTGGCTAAGCAATATTTGGATAATTTGAAGAGTTCGACCGAATTGGGAGGCGATTTCAATGATTTCGATGCACAGGATTTGGACGATGATATATTAGCCAGACGTTTACAAGTAGACGTGGCTGAAAGTAAAGGTTACGTGTATAAATTTATTGGAGAAAAAGTTTCGTCACAAATTGATGACATTAAGACGGTCATTACTCGAATTGGTTCTAAGAATTTAACCGGATTGTCGGTTAGATATCCTTACTTGTACACTGTATCTAAAGATATTGAAATTATTAAGTGGGATATCTCTGCTGACAAAAAGAAACCCCAAAGAATAAAGCATACTAGGGGTGGTTCTAAATATTTCAAATTATTCAATAATCCAAGCCAGAACCATCACTGGGATTCCATAAATTGTATTGCGGCATCTCCTGATGGAAAATTTATTGTCACCGGTGGAAATGATTCTCGTTTGATTATATGGTCTACAGAGAATCTTGCATGCTTGAAGGTATTAGAAACAAGATCTTCTGTAAATTCCGTAAGTTTCCGTCGTGGAACTGATCAATTATATGCTGCCTGTGCTGATTTAAGGGTTAGAACATATTCTATAAACCAATTTGCCCAATTAGAAGTCTTGTACGGACACCAAGATAATATATCTGATATTTCAGCATTAGCAAAAGAGACTTGTGTGTCAGTTGGATCTAGAGATAAGACTGCATTATTTTGGAAAATATCTGAAGAGTCTAGATTAACATTCCGTGGTGGCGATTCGACAGATAAAAGAGCAAGAAAGTCCCATAAGAAAAAGCAAAATATCGAAGAAGAACCTTCTGACGAACAACCATTCCATGCAGAAGGATCAATAGATGTTGTGTCGATGGTTGATGAATCACATTTCGTTACCGGTTCTGATAACGGGAACATCGCATTATGGTCGTTAGCCAAAAAGAAAGCCCTTTTCACCCAAAGATTAGCACATGGTTTACAACCAGAATATGCACCATCCAAAGCAAGTGCAGAGACGTCAATTGATAATGCATCCCGTCAGATTCCAGAAAGACAACCATACTGGGTTACTGCAATTCACGCAGTACCATATAGCGATTTATTTGTAAGTGGTTCATTTGATGGTAGTTTGCATGTATGGAGAATATCACAAGAGGGTTTGAGATCTTTCGAGTTAATTGGAAAAATTCCTAATGTAAAGGGTTGTGTTGTGAAAATAGACAGTGCAGAGATCGGTAACAACAAGGTGGTAATTCACGCTTTGGTAAGCAAAGAACATAGATTAGGGAGGTGGTTAGAAAAGATTGAGGGTGGTAGAAATTCATTAGTAAGTTTTGCATTCGACATTTAAATTAAAATATTTAATGAAGTAAGTAGGATATGTAGATCCATAAACTACAATTATCTAGACATATAATAATAAACTCAAATAACCTTTATTAAACTATTGTACATATCACTCTAATGGCTACTTTCAAAATGCAGCCTCATCATCGCCATCATCGGCAATATCGTCATCCCCATCGTCGAAATACTTTTCGGCATTGTAATCATCATCGTCGTCCTCTTCAAAGTCATCATCTATTTCTTCTTCAATTTCTTCATTTTCATCTTCTTTGGCAGTGCCATTTGCGTTATTAGAATCCAAATCTTCTGCCATATCTTTAAGCTTTTCCAACATAGATTGAGCACTTTCAGCTTCCGATTCTCGTGCCACAAATTGCTTTAAACCACCATCTGCCTTAAACGTAGACAATGACAATAACTTCTTTTTCTGCTTATTAGATATACCCATAACTGAATATAATTCATCTGGATAAAATTCCAACTGGTATGGGTGTTCTTCAATGGTTCTTCCTATCTTTTTGATCTTTTTATATTTATCTGAATACCTTTCAATCCCATCTGGAGCTGTGGTAGTAGCCTGTTCTTTGCCTGTATTCAACGTGGACCCCGTATAAAAAGGTCCGTCCAACATAAGATTAGAAAATGCAATAGATTGTTTGGCAGCTGATTCTTCATTTGGAGTTAATGGTCCACTGACTGGTAAAACTAACTGGGGCTGCTCTGTAGTGTGATCTGCCGAGGATATATCACTATAATCCAACCCAAATGGAAGCAAAACTCGCCCAGAATTTTTTGCTCTAAACGACATTGTTCGGTGAACCTATTCTAACGATATTCGACTTAAGCCTATCTCTGTCTAGCGTTTACTGCTGTGGTTCCCTTTTGTCAATGTCATCTCATAAAAAAGCGGAAACGAACAATAATGTCGCGATGATTTACAAATGTCGCAATAATTCTAAAAGGTAAACAACGACATTTTGAAGATCATATAAACATGATTATACAGCCCACTTAGTACTTGTATATTTAAAGAAACTCTTAGGACTTGGCAAATCAACGAATATATGATATAACCGAGAATTAAATGTCAGATCCAAACATTCCAAATATAATAGATGGCTCACTAGGGCCAGAGAGCGCAAATGGTACTCTTGTGATTATTGTTTGTCGTGCTAAGCACTTACCAAATCGAAGAAAATTAGATAAACAGTCGCCATATGTGACGCTAAGAATCGGTACTACAGCTAAGAAGACACCCTCACACTTCAGGGCTGGGCAAACTCCAGAATGGACGCATGAAATTAGGTTTGAGTTGACGAGAGATAGAAAACCAATAATGAAATTAGATGTATTAGATGAGACGAAAAATGACCCGACGCCAATTGGAACGGTTGATATAGACTGCTCGACGGTATTTGCGAACCCAAATAACGAGAAAGATGGAAAATATATTTTTGACAAATGGCATGATTTAACATTGAATGGAAGACGGGCCGGAATGATATATTTAGAGATGACTTTTTACCCTAGTGCTCCTATATTACCTCCCAAATTCACAGACCCATTGTACAATGAGCAGGAGGTAGATTCATATCACCACTCATTAAGTACGAAGGATTTACCGCCACCACCGCCCAGACATCCATCCCAGACACATCCTCATACCGTAGCGGATGATATATTTGTTACCTCGGAGTCTGAGAAAGGACTGAAAAGGTTGTCATTTTTCAAGAATTCAGATGGTCTGTTGGGCGGCCGTTTTTCAGGTTCTAATGGATCTGGGAATGATGATGTGTTTGAGTCGCCAAAAGATTCAAATAATAGCCCACCTAAAAAGTACAAACTTAAGATCATGAACAAATTCAAAAAACTTCAGAATAAAGAACCTATAACAAATATATGGCAGAAGGGAAATGGTCAAGGGAGCCCAGAAAGAGAATTATCTCCTGTTAGCGATTATGGTGTTGATTTTAATGAAAATGCAAATAATACTAAAAAAAGCGAGTATTATACTTTACCGGAAATGCCAGATAAATTCAAGGAATCAGATGATGAAGATTTTGAATTAAGAGCTCCAATACCGCCTCCTCATTTAGTTAATCATCAGCAAAATAATTCTGAACGCCTACCGCCAACTCCACCAACTTCAAAAAAGCAACCGAGCAAATCCCCAACTAGAAAACCTCCGCAAGACTTGACTGAACAAACTAACTTAAGGCCAGTTTCAAACACATCTATTCCATTTTCTGCTGATACGATAGGTCTTGATGAAGGGGAAGAAAATAACCACGGAGCGTTGCCTACAAAAGTTTACTTTCTAGACCAACAGGTGAAATCTTTGACTTTCACAGGAAGAGATGATGACTTGAAAGGCCATCAAATGAATCCAGATGAAATTGACCCCAAATATTACGCTCCTACACCAAATGAGCATTTTGGGAAAACAGCTCAACCACGATTTGCAACGAATGAGCAAAATGGTTATTTAGGGGATGGAAAATGGAATAGGGACCCCAAATTTTCTCCATCGGTATTTGATAGAATGCCAATGGTTGGCGATGAAAATTTTGGGTTCGAAAATAAACCGCATGTTCCACCTAAAATACCACAAGGATTAACTGAACAAGAGTACTATGTTTTGGAAAAGGAAAAATACCTCAAAGATATAAATGGAAGAAGGTTATAGCGGTATTAGTAAATTAGACATTAATTAAAATAGACAATAAGGAATTATTTATATCGAAGTAATAATACATATAATACATTTAAGGTATGCAAAGCACATATTCGTAAGTCATATAGATTGTTAACTTAAGTGAAAACACGATAGAATAATTCCCATCAAAGTGTCGAGTGAAGAAAGCAAATTATAATCCAGATAAATCCGTTGCTAAAAAAACACAATTAAAACAAAATTATTGAACATAAGATAAATCAGAATGTTGAATTAAGGTATTCGGAATAGATATTACCATGTTAATATCAATTCATTATAAGAGTGCAGCTGCTACAACACCGACTAAACCTAAGGCAACACCCTTGCCTGCATCACCAAAGTTAGCAATAGCGCCTGCGTTAGAGGTTGAACTTGAAGAGCCAGATGAACCCTTAGTAGAGGATCTGCCAGATGAAGATGTTGAAGAGTGCTTTTTGCTAGCAGAAGTTGTGTTCTTGCTGTGATGACCCCCAACAACAGTAGTATTCTTACTGGTATGGCCTCCAATAACAGTAGCATTGTAACCGGTATTAGCAGCGACTAAAGTAGAAGATGATGGTGCACTTGTTGTTGTTTGATTCACAGCTCTAAATTGGCCAACAACAGCATTATCTTTCAAAGCGTTTAAGTCTGCAGTAGGAGCAGGGGCGACAGAAGTCAATTTAGCGGCGGCAACAGCGGCACTTGCAGAAGAAGCAGATGCAACAGATGCAACAGATGCAACAGAGACTTCAGAAGCAACAGATGCCTTCGAAGCAGCAGAAGCAGCACTGGCTTCGGAAGCTTCAGAAGCGGAAGCAGCACTTGCAGAAGAGTCAGAAGCGACAGAGGCAGCAGAGGCAGCAGAGGCTTCGGAAGCAGCAGAAGCAGCAGAAGCCTTGTAAGCAGCAGAAGCAACAGAAGCCTTGGAAGCAGCGGAAGCAGCGGAAGCAACAGAAGCAGCAGAAGCAACAGAAGCAGCAGAAGCAGCACTGACTTCAGAAGCTTCAGAAGCGGAAACAGCACTAGCAGATGAAGCAGAAGCAGCACTAGCAGCAGAAACTTTGGAAACAGAGGCAACAGAGGCAGCAGAAGCTTCAGAAGCTTCAGAAGCAGCAGATATCGAGGATGATTCTTCTGGGGTATACACAGTTTTAGTGACAGTAATAGTCAGTTGTAAGGTGGTTGTTTCAGCAGCTTCAACACCAGCAGCAGCCAATAAGGCTAAAGGTAAAATACATCCAACTAACATTTTGAATAACAGTAACGAGCGACAACGGTAGGTCTAAAGAGTGACTAAGGTGAGTTTAAAAGATCGATAACCTTGAAGGATAACTTGGTCAAAACAAAACAAATTCAAGTTCCTAGAAGACCATCATGTCCTCAACTGGAAATACCATCCTATAAATCAAATCACGTAATTTAATCGTTTATTGGTCATTGGCCTATCGTATGTCGTTTTGCACAAGTCAGATTTCGTATACCTACGATTTTAATCAGTAAAAGGAAATGTGATTTCCTTTTGCGGCCGTTAAGCATAATATACGAAATAGCCGTTCGATCTCAACAATGCGATGTTTTCATTTTTTACAAAATTTTCAGTGTACGACAATGCACATTTCACGATCTTTGTCTAACATTTCGCGTTCGTGGAGTATTATGCCATTACCTATTCGATTTGGTTCATATAGTCATTGATAGAATTGTACCAGGTATACTTTAAACTTTATTGATGCACATGATTTAAGAAATAAGATATAAGATATAAGATTTGATGTACAAGCATGGACCAGTAATTAGACTACTGTTATATGCTTCATAAAAGGTTGTATCCGAATGCGGATGGAAGCGATGTTACACAAAACGCAATGCTATTTACTGAGAAGTCTTGCGATTCTTGTATTCGTTTTTGAACGACCTTTTTGGAGCTTTTGGTCTTTGTGTAAGAAGCTACGAAAGGTCGTGTGCTTTAATAAAAAAACCGATCAAAAAGTACTAGTGAAAAATTACTCTAGTACCAAGTGAAGACAGAGTTAATAGAGTAGGACAAGATGTTTAGACACAGCATTCGTCGTTATTCGATCAAAAATATACCATTTGAATCACAACCTAAGAATAAGTATAATGCGCAAAGATCAGCATTCAACTTAAAGCCAGTGCCAACGCAAGGATTAGTGCATAACCCACCAGCATCCATTCCAATTGCCAGAAACACACCTAAAGCATTTTTACCACCTAACGATCCAAGATTGCATAAACTCGAAGGAAAATATAAGACATATAGCCCAGATGTGTTGGAAGATATGCCAGTTATATACGGTATGGCCAAGGAAAAGGACTATGGTATGACAGCCGAAACTGCCAGAGAAATTTTGAAGTTGAGAACTCAAGACCCAAGCAAGTGGACCATATCGAAATTGGCCAAGGAGTTCAATGCATCTAAACAGTCAGTCAATGTAGTGACCATGAAGAATAAAGAGAGAAATGAAGAGTTAATAAACGAATTAGATGTCTTACAAAAGCTGTGGACTAATAACAAGCTCATGAGTAGAAATGACAGAAGGAAGAGAGTGCAAATGTGGTTGAGAAACGAATATTAAAATGTATATAGTAGCGGAAAAGTGTATAACTTCCAATAAAAGCCTTGTATTTATAATTTACACCTATAATACACTATATAATACAGACGGAGGAGCATCAATTCTTGTTAAGCTTTTTATCCTCCTTCTCAAATTCATCGAATGCTAAGTTTTCCAAGTCCTCTAAGTTCAGCTGGATGTTGATCTTGAAACCTATAGTAGACTCAATGATCTTTTGAATTTTATCATGCAATATTGATCGGTTAGAGTGAATCTCATACAAAAGTTCATCGTATTCGATTTGGATGTTCTGAAACTTATTTTCAACCTCAATGAAACCTTGGTTTGTGTTGATCTTGATCGACCGCAATTCTCGTTCTAGCTTTTCAATTTGCATCGAGTAAGTGGTTGTATCGTTAATCATTGTTTCATATATTTCGTCATAGGTAGATTTATTAGCAGTTAATTTGGCTTCTAGAGTTTCTATTTCTTCTCGCCTTTCCATAATTAATTCGGATATTAAATCTATCTGTTCCTGAAGCTTGATCTGTTCATCTTGGTACTTATGGATATTTGTGTTGATTATAGATTTGTAGTTTAATAACTGAATCTTTTCATCTTTCAAATTCTTGTTTATTATTTCATTCGGTTTAAGCAAATCGGGCGTTTCATTGAGAATTGTATTGTTTCTAAAGTTGATTTCAAAGTTGTAATCATAGTTATGATTTTTCAATTGGATCTTATAAATTAAATTATTATATTGTTTCAAGAAGTTTTCTAAACTTTGATAATTCTTTTGTAAGTTGATTTGCTTATTATGGTACACATCCTTCAAATCTTCTAAGTTATTACTTATTAAATCGATTGATTTGGATAATTTGTCTCTTTCATTATTTAGATTATCGATGTCATTCGGAGTTAATCCTTGTTGACCAATTTGGGCTTCGTAATCTTTCTTTATCGATTCAATATTATTCAATTCCACCTCACAATTTCCAATTTCTTGAGTGATTTTGTTCAAAATTTCAGACCATTTCAGTTTTCTACTTTCCATGGTCTCAATGTAGGCCTTGAATTTAATAAGGTCGTTTTCTAAGGCCTTTGATTTCTTCTCAGAGTTTTCTAAAATATCCAACTGCCCGTTCAATTCATTATATTGGTTCAACAACTCTGCATTCTCATTAGTTAGGTCTTCTATATCCTGTATGATGTTGTTATTCAATTCATCGAATCTAGTTTTCATTTCATCGTAGTACTCCGAATAATCATCGCGCTCGTCGATGAATGCCCTATATGATTGGGTTATGTAGTTTATAAAGATTTTATCAAACTCATCATCAGGACTAATGAGATCAACTTTAGAATTCAAGTTCAAGACTGATAAATTAAGCTTGACGAGCCAATACAACATGCCTAAGAAATTGGGCCAATTTTGTCCTCCGACAGCACTGATCTGCGACCGGTTGATCCCATCTAAATATGGGTAATTCAAGATCTTTAGCAACAAAAATACTTCGGTTTCAATCGACTTGGTGAATCTATAGTACGGATCAATCTTGTTATACAAAAATTGGAAAATCACCACGAAGTCCTTCTGCGTCGGCTGTTTCAACGTTTTGAATGTAAGTGGATGGTTCATTTCAAGTTCAAATTTATTGGCCAACAAAAAATCATATATCTCCTGTTGGATCAATGCCTGGTAGTTTTTATCCCTGAGTGGTCTCTGGTCCTGGTTGGATGGGGCCTGCGTTTGTTGGGATGCCTGCTGTGATTGGGATGACATCTGCGATGACAGCATCGGGGCTTGAAGTAGAGAGCTCTGTCTCCGCCTGTTGACAGACGCCGGCGTCGACAACAACGATCTCCTTTTGCCGCTGTTCCCCATCGACAAACTGCTACTATCTATAATGTTCGAGTTCCGGCCACTCGCTCCTCCAGACGTTCCATTAAGGTTTAAATTCCCTAGCAACGACGTCCTCGCAGCACTGGCCATCGATAATCGCTTCCCGTTATTCTTCCTCAACAACGAGGATGTCTGCGGTATATTATTCATGGGGTAATCAACATTCATCAATGGTGTTCTCTGCTCTTTGTTTATCTTTATCTGTTTATTTACCGACTACTCTTACGCTCTCAATGATCTGTCGTGCGCGAACCGCCATTTCCCACCGTGCTTTCCTTTTACTGCTAATCACTACCGTTTGAGCAGTCTTTGGCCATCCATGTCTTCTTCTGATACGTCAAGTAATGGCCTTACGTATGATGCAAATCATCCTGACAGTACATCGTCCAGCTGTGCCTTAATATATCGGTCCGTATATGCCATATATAACGAAAGCAGTCGGTAGATCTGCTTTTGTGGTCTGGAACCCGACACCCAACGTCTCACAAAAACTAATCGCAAAGGAGGGGGTATGTTTGTGTAATATACACTGTTTTTCGCGCGCGCAATCTGCAACTTTTATAACCTGTAAATTGTCTTCATATCTGTAAACAAATAATTTGGAAGTTACACAAAGCCACGATGTGTGTCCTCTCGCTCGCTGCGAGGTCATAATCTCATCCCATTACTTCATTACTTCGGTGGATTTCTAGCAGAATCAAACAATAGACATCAAACAAATATATAAAGCTATATTCAAACATATCATCGGATTTGATATATATAAGAAAAAACCACAATCATTAGTTCGTTCTAAAATTCGGAATTTGGAATATTAGTCGCAGTGAGTCCTTTTTGACATTTTCTATTGATACAACCCTTTGGAGTGAAAATAGGTAAACACGAGTGCACAAGACACTAATTGAGTCAATCTTTCTTCTTAATTGTATTATTTCTATTTTTTGGTATTGATATCTCACAGGGGATAAACTGCAAGAATCACAGTGCATTATGAGTGGTGAAAAACCTACGACGCCCATTTCATCGCCCAAGCTAGACAAAAACATGAAGCTTGAAACACCATCCACCCCACCGTCGCGGCATAGACAGAAAAGGATATCGGCCAGTTTCTTGAAGACCCCTGAACAGCCCTCGGATATGTTGGCGTTTTCGCCATCATACAAGAGGACAAGTTCTGGAAATTACAAGTCTCCGGACTACAAGTTGAACACACATGTGGCACCATCGCCCTATTCTTCGTTAAAGACTCCGAGACATACAGGATATGACTCGGATGACAGTAATGAGAGAATAAAATTCCAGAAGACTCCGCAGTATTTGTCGCCCGGGAAGAAGTTATTTAACGATGACTCCAGTAACAAGGAAGGATTATCTGAGATAAGCCTACAGTTGAAAAGCAAGTTGAGTTCTGCTGCAGGCAAATTACATCAACAACAACAACAACGGCAACAGGAGAAGATTCCTGGTAAGATTGACTTCAACGAGCTTTCATTTTCGTTAGCAACATCACCCACAAAGAAACAAAAGGCAAACCAGGAAAAGCAGTGGAACCCAACTAATTCAGGCCAAACTACGAACCTCAATTTACAAACATTACAGCAATCACCAGTACCGGCAAGTTCCCCATCTTTCCTACTGACATCACAGTTCCAACAAGGAAGAGGCTTAAAACAATCTCCTACCCTATCTAATGATCACCAGAGTCATGAAATACATATGCCGTCGATCGACGACGAAGAATCGAGTGCACACAATGCTTTGATGGCGGCATTGACTAGACAGAGAAGAAAATCGAGGACTTCATTTTCTTCATCTCAACGTCGTCCATCAGCTTCTTCGACGCTTTACGACTCACAGCCATCTAATTTGGCGCAACCATTGCTGGCATCAGGTTCATTACAGCATATTGCAACTCACGGCCAAGTGCTGCATCATCAACAACAACCACCTTTGAAGTTACCTCCCATTAATGCCAATAACCCTAAGGAATCTGATAAGCCCGTAAACGAGCAAGATGCAGTGCTATCTCTTATGTCTTTGTCATCGCCGCAGTCTGTCAAGTTTTCACATAGCAGAACCCACAGCTTGAATAATAATTCTCCTGGTTCGTCTAGATCATCGTCTGTCGCTATAAACAGTCCTGGAAATCAATCTACAAATACCATGCTCCCGCCCATCAGCGGATTAATTAATCCGAAAACCTCACACGATACTAAGAACAATTACGATAACGATGAGACTGATGTAGAAGATGATGCTACGGATGATGACATTGATAACGGGATAAATAATAATGTATAATTATTTACATTTTCAATTTATTTATTTAAGATTCACGGGCCTCATTCGCATCTCCTTAACTTTAGATGATTGTTATTTTGTGACGATTTACGTATATATTTATAGAAGCTAATATAAGCTTTATACTTTGTATTAACTTATCAGCAGAATGAATTTCGCAGCAATTATTTGCTTCGTCATATTATTAGTCCTCTTTACCTTTATTCAGACGACGCATACTCAAATTAAAGGTTGTGTCATTTAAAGGTCGTGGGTTTTGTAGACTCTAATACGATATTTTACTTTATCTACTCACTTCTACATAATCTTCCTGCTATAACAACGAACATTCAAAACGCAAATTTCTTTCTTCATAGCTATAGACCACCAACATACACTTGGAACACTGATTTTTTGATTTAAATCAAAGATCATAGAAAGCTTGAGTGTTTTTATTTTTTTCTTTGGGGCAAACCTTTATTATTCACATAAAGCATAAGGCTGGTTTATTTATTGGCTCTATTGTTAAGCTTTCATGCATATTGTATATCAACGATGTAACGTGAATGTAGTATCAATGTTATATCAATGATGAAGGGGTTTATAATTTGTGTACAGTACTACCCCACGCTATATATATATATATATATATATATA